CTTGCCAGTTTGTAGTTGCTGAACTGTACATGACAGGATTTATGCCACGACGCAGAATTGTTCACAAACGTGTCAACGGTTTGATCACTCCCAAATTTCAGTCCGGTTGGGAGCAGATTAATCTCACGGAACTGTTCAACATTCGTCAAGAATGACTGATACGCAGATGTCTTATTGCCGCCTACTGACGGGTTGAGAAGGGGACATCTTAACTCTTCAGCTGTTTCTTCTTGGCAGATGATACATCGGCTAAAGTCTAGCTCCATGTTGCTTTATCTAAAAAGACATGGATAGGATACTGTAATTTCGAAAAAATTATTTTACACGGCATACAATAAAACCTGATATCAGATATCAGATACGAGATATGAAAAATAAAGTTATGGCTCTACTTATTCTATTTAACTGAACTGTTATTTTACATCATTTTTTATTTTACTAAAATAAAATATATTGCTTCTATCAATTATTAATGGTTTCATAAGCATTGCTTAAACACGTTCAACGCTGCATGGTTAACAATGCACTTACCGCCTTGTGCTGAGATTTTCCACTGGCAGCAAGAAGAAGTCCTCCCCTGCAGCTACAGCACACACGCGGCCATTGACTATATATATACAACCATGTAACCATGCAACCATACAACCCTGCCATCTATAGGAGAACATAGTAAACGTTTTTTTTTTTTTTTTTGTTTGTAAATTCATTTCTGATTTTTACAGCCAGATATATGAAACTTTCTTTTTTTCTGGCAGCCATTTTAGAAAATATGGCCGCCATCTTGGAAATGGGTCACCTGAGCAAAATGTCATGACCAGAATCTGTTTCAGTGACCCTGAAAACCCCTGAATTGACACCTCATTTGTTCATTTCCGATTTTCACAGCCAGTTATACGACATTTCCTTTTTTCTGGCGGTCATCTTGGATTTTGGCCGCCATCTTGGAAAATCGGAACCGATAAAGTGGGTTCCACGGATAAAATCAATAGATAGGTCGAAAAGAAACTCCATGCCAAATTTGGTACTTTTGTCCGGCCGGTAACGTTAATCCTTAAAATTGTTGCTAAGCCACCTAACTACTACTCATTAGTCCAGGGTCATGCTTTACACAGCTGGGTCTGTACCCCAAACTAGAACAATAGCTTATAAATGTGTATTTATTACTATGTATTTCTGCGGTATTACACGGACACCCTCCCAGGCGCCCGTCACATCATCAAATAAGCTTTTGTCTGAATACTCAATTGTACATGCACATTACGACCTTATACAATGCAAATAGCAATCAAAATCAAATAAAAACAAAATAAAATCGAAACGAGAAAAAAAACACTAATAAATTCGTGACATAGAAATAAAATAGGGTAAATGATATTCGGTCGTAAAATGAATAGTTAAAACAATATAAGACAATAATAAATTGCATTCTACCCGGCAATGCACTGACGCAGCCCGTGTGCCTGTACAAAATGTAATTAGTGCCTATTAGCCGGCGGGGCATCCTTCGGGGCCCCACGGATAGAAGTCCGGAGGGCGGAAAACGTGTTCGTATTCCAGTACCAAGACGTTATAGCATTCCATCAAAACGTCGAAGGCTGGGTCAAATTCATCGATCCGGTAGAGGACGAAATCTTTGAGGTTCTGTAAGTAGCGATTAAATAATGAATCACTCTCATCTATAAATGGGTCTGCGGGGCCACCGTGGTGCTCGTAATCGAGTAATGACTCGAAACGCCACTGGGCACCGTCGTAGGCGCCAAAATCGTGGGGCAGCAGAGGGATAACGCCCTGCAGATAATTCTGCACGGCGGACAGGCATGGCGGCTGCAGCAGGACAGATGACACCGCCTCCGTAAGAATGTAACTGGCTGGGCCGAGAAGCTCATTATAGTGTAGTTATGCATAATCACACTAACTTATAGCAAAATGAACTCTAGTTTCTCCCATTATAGTGTAGTTATGCATAATCACACTACCTTATAGCAAAATGAACTCTAGTTTCTCCCATTATAGTGTAGTTATGCATAATCACACTACCTTATAGCAAAATGAACTCTAGTTTCTCCCATTATAGTGTAGTTATGCATAATCACACTACCTTATAGCAAAATGAACTCTAGTTTCTCTCATTATAGTGTAGTTATGCATAATCACACTACCTTATAGCAAAATGAACTCTAGTTTCTCCCATTTCACTGCGAGTTTGTTTAAAAACCCACAAGAAAGACGTGCGAAATTAGGTAATCTGGCACCAAAGCCGAATTGTTTGCCAAGCATGCAATCTCGCCTGGAATCGTTACGCGACGTCACGCTTTTATCTTTGCTACTCCCGCTGCACTGTTCCTTGGCAGAGCAACGAGAAAGTGTCAACAACATCGGAGAATTTGAACAACATTGGAGGTATTTTCGAATGCCTTTCATAAGGCAACGCGCAGTTAAATATGAGTAACTAGAGTTTATTTTGTCATAAGGTAGTGTGATTATGCATGACACAAAGTATTTGCTAGTCTAGTACTGGAGAAATTAGCGTATTGATGCGCATAATTGCGGCTTTACAGCATATAGTGATATGTGCATTACCTTCAGAAGCTCTCTCATCGG